AGAGAATAGTATTCATAGAGCAGTCATTCATTATAAGTGGCTTGATAGAAAACCCATTCATCACTTGCTGATTGCCAAATTCAAAGAACAACCTTTGATTTAATTCACACAGAATTGTAGACTTTAGAGAAGAGACCTTGTCGCTGTTGAGTTCAAGTCCTTAACTCTTTTCTCTTGTTCCTTTTTTTTTTTTAAGTTGTAGTTTTTCATAACAGTTTCACTCTTTCGTTCTGGCTGTCCTGGAACTCTGTAGATCGGACTGGCCTTAGACTCCCTGAGATCCGCCTGCTTCTGCCTGAGTGTTGGGATTAAAGGTGTGCCTCACCACTGCCTAGCCTTTTGTTCCTTTTTAATTGGAGAGACCTATCATCTGCTCAGAACTATTTCCCCAATTTTGAACATGGAAAATACCCATCTAGAATTGGCATAGTTAGTAGGGTATTTAAGTGTCAGACGCATAGAAGATGCATCAGATAGTCCTGGAATGTTTAAATGACTTCCATTCAGAATCCAGTATGGTGATATGCCCCTAACCCAACACTTGACAGGCTGAGACAAGATCTTGAGTTCAGGGCCGGCCTGGGATATATGGTGAGACCCTATTACAAAAAAATGGGAGGGTAGTGAAAAAGAAGGGTATACCTGTAAACGGAGACTGTACTTTCATTTCCTGGCTGCTCAGACCTGAATAATCACAAAACCTATATTGATTAAAACACTGTTTGGCTAATGGTTTATGTGTATTCGTAGCTAGCTCTTAACCCATTTCTTTCAATCTGTGTATCACCCACAAGGCTGTGGCTTACCAGTAAGTTTCTGGCATCTTTCTCCTTTGGTAGCTACATGGCCTCTACCTAACTCCACCTTTTTGAAGTGAGCACTTGTAACTGGTAACCTGTCTCCTACTCTGTGAAGAGCATTTGAAGTGAGGTTACTAAGTGATGTGCTGGCAGACGATGCCTGCCCTCAGTCCCTCATGGAGTTCTTTATGAAGGCCCTGTGCAAAGAATTTGGTTATTAGCTGAAAAATGCTCGTTTTTTGTCTAGGTCAGTGACTTGTGTACAGTGCCCCGACTGCCTGTGATGGCAGACCTGAGCAGTCCCAAAACCCTGGTTAGGGAAGGATTCCAGAGAAGATGGTTCAATTTTGTAGGTTGAAAAGATGCTGACCTATCTAAGAATGTGATCTTTGATGAAGTGTGTACAGGCAGCTTCATCATGTCTCCTTGGCTTTGGGACTTTTTATTTATTTGTTTGTTTGTTTGTTTATTTATTTATTTATTGTGTATACAATATTCTGTCTGTATATATGACTGTAGGTCAGAAGAGGGCACCAGACCTCATGACAGATGGTTGTAAGCCACCATGTGGTTGCTGGGAATTGAACTCAGGACCTTTGGAAGAGCAGGCAATGCTCTTAACCTCTGAGCCATCTCTCCAGCCCCCATGGGACATTTCTTTCCTCCCCACATGGACCTTGGCACCAGTATCTCATTGTCTCCCATTATACACATGTTGGTATCACTGCTATTTAGTGGCCAGTATCGGACAGCCATACTATGGGGGTTGATACTAAATCTGTGCTGTTTGAGTCCAGGTGTCTGATTGGTTAATGTTTGGGAACTTGCTCCACAACATTGACTCTTAGTTCAGTGGCACCACCCTTGGGACCTGTGATCGAGGACAAAGTCTCCTTGATGTTTTAACTTTTAAGATTTTTGAGAGTGTGTTAGTTTCTTCCCAATGAGGCCTGAAGATGGTGGCAGATCCCCTGGAGCTGGAGGGGAATCACAAGCGTTTCGGTGAGCCACTCTGGGTGCTGAGAACCAACTTAGACCTTGAAAGAGAAGGGAGCAAGTGTCCTTAACCACCTAGCCATCTTGCCAGTCCCTCATTGACACTTAGAAATCTTGTTTTCATTTTGTGTATGTGTTGTGTGCATGCGTGCTGGTTTACGATGCTTGCTTCTCTGTGGTGGCAAATAAGGAGATTAGAGAACAGTTTGCAAGAATTGGTTCTCAGCCAGGTGGTGTTGGCACACATCTTTAATCCCCAGCACCTGGGAGACGGAGGCAGGCGGATCTTTGTGAGTTTGAGGCCAGCCTGGTCTACAGAGTGAATGCTAGGACAGGCTGCAGAATTACACAGAGAAACCTTGTCTAGAAAAAACAAAAACTAACAATAAAAAAGAATTGGTTCTCTTTCCATAACGTGGATCTTGGGACTAGAACTCAGGTCATTGGATTATGTTCTGAGCCATATTGCTGACTGCTCCATAACACTTTAAAATAATCTGTTAAAATTTATATTTGTGGTTGTAGGTGTGAACCTGCCATTGTGCAAATGTGGAGGTTAGGGAACAAGTGTGTACCAAGGATCAAATTCAGGTTGTCGGGCTTAGTGGCAAGAGCCTTCACCTGCTTAGCCATCTGACCAATCCTCTCCCTAATACTGTTGAAGCTAAGAATGCATGTTTCAAATTCTGTTCTTGGGGTTGGCAAAATGGCCATGCACACAGCACTTTAAAAAAATGGTTTCCCTACCACATACTGACATTTCATTTGTACACAACTAGTCCATTGTCTTCTTTTGTATACAACTTCCTTGGTAAGGAAGAAATGGCATTGAGGATACTGTGGCAGTACACTCCTATACTTCTAGCACTAGGGAGGTAGAGACAGGAGGATATCTGAGTCTGAGGCCAGCCAGGGCTACATCGTGAAGTCTTGTTTTTAAAGGAAAAATATATAGGGATCACTGTCCATTTCATCTGTGTGCTGAGGATGGTGGTGTGTAATGCAGAGAGCTAGTTGGATGGAGTGAGGGCTGGCACAGAGGCAGGAGCAAGTGTAGGAATTGGTCACCTGAAGGGTGGTTACAGTTACCTTATAGGTGCACGTTCTCTAATCTGCTCAAGGGCACTGGCATCAGTGTGTCCCCACCCCACAGAAACTTGAAATCAGCCAGGTGGTGGAGGCACAGCCTTTAATCCCAGCATTAGAGGAGTGTGAGACTTGTCTGGTCTATCGAATGAGTTTCAGGACAGCCAGAGCTACAAAGAAAAACCAGAGAGAGAGAATATGGAAGTTGAAATCA